TCCTTAAGGACAATATCTCATCCGTGCGTAATATAAATTTTTAAATTTATATTAAATAAGAATAAAGTCTAATTTCATTGGGTACTAAACATATCAAAAATATCAGATAAAATTGAAATTCACATAAAATTTAATCAAAATTTGATTGAATTCTTAATCACGTTCTTGCTTATAAAAATTTGGCAGCGTTTTTGTATTAAGTTCAGATTTACGCACTTCCAACTCTACAAATTTTAGCTCTTAATTACTGATTTTGATTTTCATTATCAGTATAACAATTGGTTGGAAATAGTCTATTTTAGAACAAAACATGTGAAATATAATGTGAACAATAAAATTTTTCCTAGCTTCACATTTTCTTAGGAAAAATTCCAATTAAAAGTTGAACTGTAAGTACTCAAAATTTGAATCAAAACCAATAAGTATTTCAAAATTTTCATTTTTCACATTAAGTATGTAGTTTTTTGTTAAAAGTGAAAATTTCGCAATTTTATTCTTAATTATAAGCGTCTATATTATAATTTTAATATTTCAACAATAAAACAACTCTTGTTTTTTTCAAAATATATTTTACTTGCATATGTTAGCAAGAGGAAAAAAATTCCAAAAATAATATTCAAAAAATTGCGAAAAAAAAAATAAAACAATAATTTAGGCATACAATCAAAAAACAAAAAAAAAAAATATTAGCAAAACTGCCTATTAGACCTGTAAAACAAAAAAAAAATAAAATTTCTCCAAAAAATCCACTCATTTAAAAAACAATTTAATTTTTTTTTACTACTTTTTATAACTAGTTTTTTTTGGTTTTTTTTAATTTCTGTCTTGCTCACAACCATTACAAAGCTACAAAGAGTTTAACCAAAATCCTATATTGTAATTAAAAAAAACTACACAAAATGACAAAAATGAGAATTTTGAGGGTTTTTTTTCACTTTTGTTTTCATTTTTTTTGTTATTATTGTTGCTATCTTATATCTCATTAAGCTCATCATTTCCAAAAAAAAAATAAAACAATAAAAACAAGCATACAAAGAAAAAATTTTTTTAATACACTCCAGTCAGACCTTAACACAAAAGCTATTAAACATCAAATTTATTAATATACACACATACACACGTAAATATTTAAATTAACAAAAAAGCCTACAGGTAAAATTAATTATATTACTTTTGCATTTAGGTACAACAACGTTTGTTGTTTTCATACATTTTCGAATTTGTATGTTGTGCTAGTATGTATGTATGTATATATGTCTACAGTTATAATTAGTAAAGGTAAATAGTATGAAGTTGGGTTTATATTTCACAAGCCCATTGCGATCGTCATAATAACGCTTCAAAAAAAAAAATTACCAAAAAAAAATTTCCAAAAAAAAAAAAAAATCAACTAAAATTTCGCTTTCAGATTTTTACTTTCATTTGGTCAACTTTCACTTTTTTCGGCGATTGCTGTTATTATTATTGTATTTTGTTTTTTTTTTTTTTTTTGTGTTATTGTTTTTATGTTTTTTTAAGGTATATTATATTACGATTGTTATTGTTTTTTGATTGTTGTCATAGTCAGACTATCATCAGATCGAACAATTACTGAAGTACATATAACGACGTATGCCCCTGTGACGTATGAAGCTGTCAAATTCTAATTAAAATTTTGGTTATCCTGTTTTTTGTGACAGATGAAATGTTATTTACTTTTAATTAACCAATTTTGAATTGATATAGTAAATAGATTCATTGATATAGTAAAATAGTTTTAAAAATATGGAAGAAAAAAAAATGGGCTAAAAATTAACAATACGCTTGTCTGTTGTGTTTTTTCTTTTTATAATAGTTTAAAGTCTTTTCGAGTTCTTTAAGAAAAAAAAAATTTTCATTGACATGAAATGTCATTCTTATAATAAAAAGGTTTAGTTTCCGTCGAAATGGGTGAATAATTATTTCGATTGGTAATTTTTAAATAAAAATAGAATGTACTCGCTTTCTAACAATAGTATGTAAATACTAGGTCTCTTTAATATTATGTACCGCTCATTGTGCATGTTTTCATTCAGTCGATGTTTTAAAAAATAAGAAAATTAATTGAAACAATAAGGATGAATTGAAAATTTTAAAAGTAGTTTAAAAAGTATGATATAGAATTAGGCCGCCACGATTAGGGCTTTAAGGTCAAATCATAACTGTGGAAAAAATGGTTAATTTTTAATTTTCTAACCTCATTTTAATAATGTAATTCATATGTTTGTAAGTATTGAAGAAAGCAATAAACCCAATTTTAATTGTTAATTCTATTCAATATCTGCATGTAAAAATTTAGGTAAAATTAAAAGAACTACATATGAAATAATGTTTTCAATAGATATTAAAGTTTTAGTTGTGGGCATACAATTACCTCTTTTAATACTAAATTGAGCCCTAGAGTTGCTTTTCAAAAACGTATCTACCAAAATATTAATCAGCTTTAATACATTTTTAGCACTTCATTCTGTTGAATATTTTTTGTTTAACAAAAAAATTACAAAATTTATTTGTAAAAAATGTGCTTCTCAATGGTCGTTTACAATAGTACAAACTTATTTGTTTTGCTTTTGTCAATCTCTTATTGAATTTACTTTTCTATCTTAAATCAACTTAGTAAAATGAAATTAAATAAAATTTTATGAAGCTCAAAAGTGATATTTTTATGTTTGTATTATTATAATAAATTTATTATAATTACACATTTTTATACTGATGTTATTCTTTTAATATCACACGCCATGTAATATTTATTTTGTAAATTTGTAAATGATACGGTAGAAAAATCAACCACAAAAGGGAAAATAATAACGATGTATCAAAAAAACAACAAAAAAGAAAATAACAAGAAGAAAAACTTTTTTTTTTTCGGCAGTGACAAGCTGAAACGCATTTTTAATGTTTCAATTTTTAATTCACGTTCCATAATTCGCTTCCATAATTTTTTTTTTAAATTTATTTCGGCTTAATTTTTTAACCCTTTTTGTGTTTTTTCTTTTTCAATTTTCTGCGTTAATTTTTTTTTTTAAAGATTCACGCTTTAATAGCACTTTATTCTAACAATAGTTGTACGCACAATTGTAGATAAATTTTAGTTTTGTTGCTATTTTTATTGAAAAAAAATTTTTTTTTTTGCTTTACTAACTTTTTTTTTTCGGCAAAATATTAAATTTTTGGTATAGGTTTTTTGTTAGTATCGAACACATACAAAAGAAAAGGAAGAAAATAAAATTTTTTTTTTCTCTTGACAAGGCTTGTTCCGTATCAAGTATTTATGCAAATTAAGATAAAAGTGAAATCCAGAAATTAACAGAAAAATATAAAAGCAAAAAAAAATTAAATAAAAAAAAAATGATAACTCTTTTTTTTTTTGTTGGAGTATATTTGTAAATATGTAGGTATATTAATGTGTCTTTCGTAGACAATACAAGTGGTTTTGCAGTGTTTTTAAAGAGATAAATATAAAATATAATAATGTCATTATTTTGCAATTAGTTTAGGTAAATTAATTCATAATTTGTATAGCTGAAATGAAATCAAAGCATTCTAAGATTAAAGTATGTAATTATAATGAAAATTCAATCGACTCATTTCGTTTTGCAAATTTTAGTTTTGCAGCTTTGTTTAATTATTTATTTGTATTCCATAAATTTATATTTAAGCGCGCATACAAGCAATTGTATGATCGCATGCAATTAAGCAATCAAACAGTTTGTAAATTTTTATAAATCAATTGCAATTTTTAGTCAATGCACTCGATTTGAATTGTCGTAAAACAATAAGTAATTGCAAAAGTAAAAATTACATGCCTTTCTGAGCCCTTATAAAAATCTAATGTTTCTTTTTCTCATCATTTTCAAATTTTAAAAATGATGAGAAACTTTTTGAACTCTGAATAATTTGAAGAGAATTTTGAAAATTTCTTAAAATTCAAGTAGCGAAATTTAATAGATTGCCGGAAACAGAAATGTAAACTTCGTACTTTCCACACATTCCCGAAATTTTTGAAAATATCTTTTTATCACACTTGTTCTTACTATTTCTACTCTAGAAATAAAGTGTCGTCAACTATTTTTTTGCGTTCAACCGATCAATATCAAGCAATGTGTTGTTGAAATTGTTAAAATTTTAAAAAGAAATTCACTATGAAATTTTATTTAGGCAGCACCCCTCCCTCCACTTCATGAAGTGAACTTGTGCTTGCAACAGCAATTGCATTATATTGTATAGAAGCAGTAGTATTGTATTTCGAGATCAATTAATCTATAATCATAGTGCTTAAAGCAATAAAAAATATTAAAATGTGAACTAAATAGCAAATCAAAAATTTATAAAGCGCTTTCAATTTTATTTTATCGGTTTTAATTTACGAATAGCATTTTGCATAGTGTTTTTTATTAGTGTTTTGTTTTATGCGCTTGTTTTATGCGCTAACTAATAAAAACAAAAAAAAATTTATTTCAATCTCATAAAAGAAATTGTATTTAAAATTGAGAATTACGAGTAAATAACAAAAAAAAAAAACGAAGTAAAAGTAAGAGAAAGGAAAATGTAAAGTAATGCAAAGCATAAAAAATAAAATTACAGGTTTTTTTTTTATTAATTTGTGAATTACAGCATAAATGTAATGTTATGTAATAAATAGGTAAATAGAGCTCGTTTCTATGTGCAATTTCTATATTTCTTTTCCTGGTGTAATATTTTTTTTTTTGACTAAAGATTTTTTATTTAAAATTGCATAATTAATTTCCTTCTTTTTGTCACAAAAAATTTCTTGTATGTTATTCTGGAATTTGTGAATGCAGGCATCGGAGATAAATAAAATTACTTATTTTTTGACTAGGTTTTCACTGTATGTACCATTCCGTAATGCAGTTATGAATTTATCCTTACTGACTGACAATTCAGTATACAATCAATATTAATTCATTAAATAGTTAAAATATTTTTACATAATTATTTTTTTATATTTATTGACTTACCATTTAAATATGATGCATGATGTCGCCATAATTGTTGTACTTGAAATTGTGTCCAACGGTTAGCATCATCTGCTAAACCATTTAAAGTATTACTTATATTATTATTACTATTATTATTACCGTTATTATTGTTAACAATATTATTACTATTGTGATTATTATGAATTGAATTATTATTATTGTTATTATTATTATTATTTGTTAAATGATGTAAATGATGATGTAAAATTTGACTTGGTGGTGGTAATGTTATATGATTATTGTTGTTGTTTGTATTATTTGATTGTGATGTATTACTATTGCTATTACTATTATTGTTAACATTGTTCGAATTATTATTATTATTATTGTTGTTGCTTAAATTTATTGAATGTGCAACAGCAGCTGCAGCAATTAATGTATTATTATTAACTAAACTATTTGCAATTGCATTAACATTTGCTGTTGTATTTCCATTATTATTATTATTACTATTTGTAGATCCTTGAGAATTTCCATTACCACTATTACCACCAGTTATTGTACTAACACCATTTAAAAGATGCGGTAAATTATGTACAACTTGTAATGGTAAACTACTTAATGATGGTAATGGTGTTGGTGGTGGTTGCATTGAATTTAATAAATTTTGTTGTTGCTGCTGTTGCTGTTGTTGCTGTTGTTGTTGCTGTTGCTGTTGTTGATGAACATTTTGTAATAATTGTAAATGTGATGGTGATACTAATGATGTTGGTGTTCCAGGTGGCTGTCCGATTTGCAATGATTGTTGCTGTTGATTCGGTGGTAATTGATATTCCATTCTAACCGATAAAAACTTCATTCAATAAAAATGGATTCTTTTTTTTTTTTTTTGTTTATATATAGTTGAATTTCCAAAGGATATTTGTTTTATTCGAAAAATAACGGTAAATAATAGTAATAATTTAATAATTAATTTATGGGCAGTGATTTATTTGTATATTAAGATTTAAAAAAAAAAATTATTATTAGAACTTGTTGTTTTCTATATGCGTTGTTGAATGTTGAATATCAAATGGTGATATTTTCTTATTTTGTATAATGAAGAAGTAGTTTTGTATAGAGAAAATTAGATTTTTAATTATTATTTTTTAATTTATATACAGATAGATTTTTGGAGAAAAAAAAAATTCAATGTTTGTCAAATATTCATGTTTAATTGAGTTTTAATTTTATTTCGGTTTTAATTTTTTTTTTTGTATAATATCATTTAATAATTGTTTTATATTTAGCAAATTTCTTCATTTTACTTAATAAATTATAATTTTAGTAAATTGATATTTTTTTTTTATTTTTTATTTTTCAATAATTAAATTATTTCAAATTTTCCATTCATGAAGTAATTTTATTATTAAAATTATTGTTTAATTTTTGGAAATCTTTTAAATTTCAAATTGAAATTAAAAAAAAAAAAAAAATTATTGCACAATATTTTGACATCTATATACGTATATAAAATTGTATAACAGATTTAAATTTTAAAGTAAATTATAATTTGTAGTATTTCAATAATTTTCTAATTTTTTTTGTAATTAAATGCTAATTTGTATGTCAAATTAAATTAAATCTCCCATGAAATTCTCTATAATTCCAAAATATCATTAAAATTATGATTATGTTTTATAAATAATTATGATTTTGTAAACAACTTAAACATTATTTGTACAACTGCAACTATGTATTTAATTTGTCACCAAATAAATTCTAATTCAAATCTAATTATATACCATATATTATTTTGAATATCCTTTCCGTATAATATTATATATTTAAATACATATACATATACAAAATAATTTTATTCATAAATTCGTATTATATGAATAGTAATAATAAATAATTATTAAAATATTCATATTTCAAAAGTAAAATTTATACATATGTATATACATATGTATATGCATTATAATGTTAACAAATATTGTTTATTTATTTAATAATCACATAACAATGAATATATTTTTGTATTTTATATATTTATATATATTATCACAAAATAATAATTTATTATAATTTAAAAAACAAAAAAAAAATATTGCTATATAAGTATTTTTTTTTTTAATTCATTTTATTCTTTAAATGATATATGGTCACTTTATTCAAATTTTCAATTAAATACACTATATATATAATATATCTCTATTTAATATTATGAGTTATAAGATAAATTATAATATTGTGTCGCGTATATATATATATATATATAGAGTGATGCTCATACTTTAAAATACATAAGTAATATTTATAAATATTTGAGTATTATCTTAAAAAAATTTATTTTAAAATATGATTTTATATTTTTTTTTCCTGTTATATTTTAACCTTTATATTGGAATAAATATTAGAATATATAAGAAGTTTATTATTATTATTCAAAGCAACGAATTGAATTTTTTTCCCCGATTTTTTGCAAAAAATTTTTAAGCAAAAATACACTTTTTCGACTTTTTGTTTTAAAGAATTCTAAATTAAAGACAAAAAATAATTTTTTTTTAAGCTACTTGAACGAATAAACGTAAGTTTTTTTAATTTAAAATTTTAAAAATTAATTATTTTTAAAATACACATAATATATAGCAAAATCTCATTAAAATAAAAAGAATTTAAGAAATTTTCAATTTATTAGTTTTAAATTTAAATATGTAAATAAAATAAATAATAAATGTGTTTGTTGTGTACTTGAATTTTTTTAATTTTATTATAAAAAACAGAACAACAAAAAATAAAATATAATTTAAAATAATGTTTTTAATTTAGTATTCTCTTTTAGTTTTGCTTTTAAAATTCTATATTTAAAATAGATGAGTAAAACTTTATATTATATGCATACTGGGTACTCTATACACATACTGGCATGAGTGAAATTTTAAATAAAATATCAAAATTTTGAATTATTTTATTTTTGTATTTATTAGAAAAAAAAAACACAAAGACTAATTGGTTTTGTATTCTAATTAAAATTTTTTTTTTTTTTCAAAATAAAAAAACAAACACGTTCTCTTTTAAAATTAATCACTTTAACTATAATTATTATAAATTCAAGAATATTCAAAAAAATAAAATATTCAAAAAAGTAAAAAAATTAAATATTTTTTTTTTTTTTTGTGTCATAAATTATAAATTTCACCAATAATTCTTTATATATACCTACATATGTACATATATAAAATACAACTGATTTTATTATTAATTTTTGCAAAATTATGCTATATAAAACACAAAAATTCATTCAACAAAAAACAAAATAAAATAAAAAGTGAAAAACGAACTTAAAAAGTAAAAAAAAAAAAAAATAAATAGACAAATTCATAAAACGAAATTATTTAGCAACAAAAACGGCGGGTGTATAGAGAGAGGTACAAGTTTAAACTACCACTACTGATAAAACAAAACTTAAAAACTAAAGTAAAGCTTTATCTAGAGTTCATAATATTTTTTTTTATTTTGTTTTTTATTATTCTGTTCTATTGCTTGTTTTTTATTTTTTTATGTTTTTTATATTATTTTCTTTTTTTTTTTTTTTTGTAGTTATTCGCAAATATTGTTCTATAAAATGATAAAATATTCACAATCATTAAGAATAGAATATTATGTATATGTACATAATAATAATAATAATAATAATAATATTATGTGTGTATTTATGTACATATATGCACATACATAAATTTATATTATTATTATTACTACCCCAATAATACTAGTTTTGCCTCGGATATAGTTGAGTATTTGCAAAATTTTATAACTGTATTAGTTTTATATTGTGTATATAAGAACAAAATAAATTAATTATGTATATAAAGGTATATAATATGTATATGCATCTATGTACGTACATACATATGAGTGTACATAATGTGTGTATAAAACTTTATAAAATAGTTTTAATATTTTTTTTTTTTTTACTTAAGTACTTGAACATGTACATAATGTTCTTTTATTCATACATATATATATTTTAATTTAATATAAAAAATTTAAAAGTTTAGTCTATTATAAGAAATATATGTATGTATATATGTACATATGTATGCCGGAATAGCAATATAACTAATATAATAAAAGTATAACTATAAGTAAAAGAGTATAATAAAACGATGAGTATATAAGTATAGCAAAAAAAAAAAATTGTATATGTACATATACATACATACATAATAAAAATTAGCAAAAAGAAAAAAAAATTAAATAGAAAACTAGAATTAGAAAAAAAAAAAGTTTGACCTTGAACGTCGTATTCCATGCGTTTAGAATGATCACATTCATTTGATCGTGTGCTTTTTTTTTTTTTTTTTTTTGTTTCTTCTCTTTTGTGCTTTTATTTTTGTTGTTTTTTTTTTTTTTTGCTTTTTAATGCTTTTTTTTTATGATCAAGTGTTCTAAAGTTCTTAATACACACACACACGTATATTAAAAAGTAAAATGTGTGTGTGTGTATGTTAACAATATTTTTATAGTAGAATTTTTACTAGTACGTTATTACTTACTTATATTATTATTTGAAATTATAAATATAATTATAAATGTGAACATAGTCTTTATATATGGCGTGAAATTAAAAATTATAGTTTTATGTACATACATGTATGTATATAATATTTCTATGTATGTATGTACATAATTTTGTTCTAAGCTTTAATAAAATACAATATTATAAGTAAAGCTTAGTAAAGAAAATTTTGTTTCTCTTTCCTTTTTTTTTGTTTTTTAATTTGAATAGTAAGTATATGAAATTAGACACAAGCGGTAGAAAAGAAAAACAACAAAAAAAAAATAGAACTCAAACAGAACTTGTGAAAATGGCAATTTCATACATATAGAAGCTATTCTTATATTTTTACTTAATATCTATCCATCTCATTCTAGGTATACATATATTTTTTCGTTTGTTTTGGTTTATGTTTATTTTAACATACTATTGTTCTAAACTAAACAACAACACTTATTTTATTATTTGAGCTTAAAAAAATTTTGTTTTAAGAATATTTTTATTAAAAAGATGAATTTATAATTTAATTGTTTTTTCGTTTTGAATAATGTTTATTTTATTTTTAAATTCAAAAGATTTATGATTCAAAATAATTAATAAATAAGTATAATATATAGAAGTTTAGGGTTTTAATAATTGTTATCAGCTACAAGACATTTGAGGAGTCATTTAACATTATTTTGAATCGTCCTATTATTTTAAATAAACGGGGCCCTGCTATGTAATTCGATTTTTGTTTTTGCGGAAATGGACAGGTAGTATCATACAAATTTATAGGTACTGCCTTACTATTTTTCCGAATACAAACTTCGTTCCACGAAAATCGAAGCCGTTTGGATAAGATGATTAAGAATCGAACTTTTCAAATTCAATAATGAATTTTCAATTCGATTTTAATTGAAATATTAATAAATTAATTAATTAAAAATTGAAGATGATTTAATTTATTTGACAATTTAAATAATAATCTAAAGTATAAATAATAATAGTCTTGTTTCTAAATAAGAAGATAATAAACTTAGATCTTATATGTTCAAAAATAATAGAATTTTAAAATATTGCATACCATGAGGCGTAGTTGTTTTAAAACTTGATTCTTTTCATATTCGAATGAATATTTTTTATTTCCACATTTAATACTTAGCAAAATTAATGAAAAGTATGTTAGAATACCTGTACCATAAAAAATTAAAAAAAAGAATGAAAATTTCGAAAAATTTGGTAATTATAAAAATAGAATACCAATAGAGAATTTTTTACGGGCCTTAAACAATTTCAGTTTTTTTTATTTTT